AGCTCCTGCAAGGACAGAGAGGCCACAGGCCGGCATCCTCACAAATCGCGGATGTACTGTGTCTTCCAGTAGTCGAAAAAAAGAATATATTTGACCTTTTTCAGACTATTTAATACAGAACAGTTTAAATACACACAGAAGAGGAGCGAGGAGACAAATGAAACCCTGCAGCCCCACCCCTCTTTCCACGGTTCTGGATGTTTGCCAGCACAGGGCTGCCCTGCACTGGTGATGGGGTCACTGTTGGCTGGCATCCATCCGGCATCCCCGGGGAAGCTGTGCCAGTGTTGTGGCCACTGAGGTCCTTGTAGGGGTTCTAGCCACTCACATTTCTGAGGTTCTTCATTTCCCACCTCAGATCGCTGTTTTCGAACTCAATTTTCAGCAACAGGGCCCTTCTTCAAACCCATCTTATCTCCACCGCTGATGCTCAGAACAGAGAAAGTAGTATTAGCACAAATCCATTACAAGAGTTTACTTTTATACTATGTACTTATAAAATCAATTTGCCTATGGGAAAGAAGCGTAAAACTACCATCATGGGTATTAAGATTTGGATTTTGATAACATTTATGTGTTACAATTTCATGTAGCTCAATATTCTGTTTGGATGAACAACATTCAGAAATCACTGAGTCACAAATCACTGAGTCACAGGTAAGCTGTTGCTAATAGCAACAGTTTTTTTATCTTGTTTTTACCTATTTGCCTTGTGATCTCAAGAGTCTCTTCAATTACATTGATCCAAATGCTTGAAAGAAAGGCTTGTAGGAACTTTTTTTTTTTTTTTTTCAGAGTTGAATCACTGATCTAACAGATGCTCAGTCTTGATTATAAATATGAAAATCAGAGAGGAAGAAACCCAAGCTTAAAATAAGCAAAACTTTGTTCCCCATAACATGCACCAAACCACACTATTCTTAACTTTTAATGTATTTTTCTTTCAAAAATATTTATTTATGTTTTTATTTTATTTTATTAGAGACAGGGTCTCACTCTGTCTCCTAGGCTGGAGTGCAGAGATGCAGACATAGCTCACTGCAGCCTCAAACTCCTGGGCTCAGCTAATCTTCCTGCCTCAGCCTCCTGAGTAGCTGAAACTATAAGCTCATGTCACCGCACTGATTAATTTTGTTTATGTTTTGTTTTTGTAGAGATGGGGTCTTGCTTTGTTGCCCAGGCTGGTCCCAAACTCCTGGCTTCAAATGATCCTCCCCTCTGGGCCTTCCAAAGTGCTAATATTATAGGCATGGGCCACTGTGCACAGCCTGTAGACCATGCTTTCTGTTTTGCTGCTCCCGAGGGTGATTGATGGGGGAACGCATCCCACGTCTGCTACAGCTTAGATGCCATGTAATTGGAAGCACAGACTTTAATTTTTTAAAAGAGCAATGCAAAGCTGAAATCTCATTTGGTGACTCCTTTATAAGAGATTCAAATGCATACACATTCATGGCCAGAGAGGCTTTAGTTTAACTTCCATGCAAAAAGGAGTTAAACAGGACACATAAATTAACACAATGGTAGTCTCTAAGAGTTAAAATTTTGTTAATAGTCATTTGAGTGTGTGACTTTTATTACCATTTTCAAATGCAAAGGCACTAAAATATTGGAGGTGAATATTTTCAGAAACCTTGAGGCGCCTCTGTAGGATCTCAGGGCTCCAGAGAATCTAGCTTGAAGATTGTGGTACTATCCAGAGTGAGGTTGTGCAGGTCCACGTTTTCAGCTATTTTGTGCCCAATCACTGTTTATAATGTGACTCATTAGCAGTCAGATACAGACAACGGTCGAGCAAAGAATATTTGCATCTTGATCCTACCTGCTGCTGTCTCTTTCCCTGTGTGTGTTTGGAAGTAAGGGGGGGATGTGTCCTTTCGTGACAGCTTGGCTCCTGCCTTCTCTCCCTCTCTCCTTTCTCTCACTCTCCCCAGTTCCCCACTTCTCCCCCTTTCTTCCTTCCCTTAAACTTCATCACGTTTTTCTTGTTTCATATTCAAATCATGGCTTCCTTGTACAGTTATTAATCTTTTCCTAGAGTTTCCAGTTGCCTTTTTTCTTATTACAAGAATTTTTTAAACTGTGTCCTCAATCAAGTCCATGATGTTTTTCAGCTCATTATATCTCCTCTTTCTTGCTCTGAACCCATTTGATTCTGTCCTCACTACCTTAACATCTTGCCAGGATTTGGACCCACCTTTTTCTAGGTCTCCTGCTCAAGTCATCCTCTAAATCTCTTTTATTGATCTCCAGGTTTAGTCTAAAAGTGTATTTCTTCTTTCTCAGTTTTCACTCTCATTGTTCCAAAGCTGACCAAGGAAATATATGTTGGGAACAAGCTCTTGAAGGCCTTAGTGTTCTTGGAAACCCGTTTCTGCCTTCATGCTTGGGTGGTTTTCCTGCTGTGAGAAGTGTCTTCGTGTTATTTCTTGAGTAGTTTTCTCCCTCCCACTCTCCCTGATGGAGCTTCTGTGGGTGAGGCGAGGTCCCCCGGCCTTGTCCTCTATGCCATCTTCTTTCTGTGTTACATTTGATCTCTGTGATTTCCATCATCCAAACCTCCCACCCACTCGTAAAAAGTTATTTCATAAATCATACCTTTAATTTCCATTTTTCTGTTTTTCTAATGGCTATAACCTCTTCAATTTTGTGAGGACATTACTTTTTTAAGAAGTGATTTTTCCTTCTTTTCATTGACTCATTCTTCTTGGATCTTTTTTGGTGTGTATCCTCCATGTGTGTCGCATGCTGAAGACTGTCCTCTGGTGTCTGATTCTGAGTTTCCCCTTGGGGGAGTCTCAGACATGGGAGAGGCTACCTGAAGCTCTGTAGTTGTGGGCAGCTCCTGCAGGAGCCACGGTGGCCAAAATGAGGGGAGCTTTACGCTGGGGTGCTAATACTTTGACCAACTGCCTGTGTTTTGTTTTGTTTTTGTTTTTGTTTTTGTTTTTTGAGGTGGTTTATTTTTCTTTACCAGTAGGGCTGTGTTTTAAGGGTACCCAGGGTTGATTTTAGTCAGGCATGGTAGAGATTCAGACACAGAAGTGACTGTCTAAAGGAAAACAGTTTTACTCACAGTTCCTTAGAAGCAGAAGCACAGCTGAGGCGTGGGTGGCTCAATGCCTGTATCTCCAGCACTTGGGAGCTAAGGGGAGTGGAGGGGGGAGTGGATTCACGAGGCCAGGAGTTCAAGACCAGCCTAACCAACATGGTGAAACCCTGTCTCTACTAAAAATACTCAAAAATTAGCCGGGAGTGGTGGCACGCACCTGTGATCCGCAGCTACTCAGGAGGCTGAGGCGCAGGAGAACTGCTTGAACCGGGAGACAGAGGTTGCCGTGAGCCGAGATCGCACCACCTGCACTCCAGCCTGGCAACAGAGTGAGACTCCATCTAAAAAAAAAAAAAA